GGTAACCACAGGTTTCTTCGTCTGCTGAAGCTCAATTTCTGAAGCACAGAAACAATTTTCCCCAACATTCTCTTTGGAGGCCTCAACTTTGGCTCACATAGTAGCCTGAATCACAAAACATGACCTGACCTTCCTCCTTTGATGACCTCCCCAGCTGTTGTTGGCCTCTTCTTCTTCTTGTCCCCAGGTAGCATGGCGAGGCCCAAGTGCAGCATGCCGTCAGGAGTGGGAGGCGGCATTGGGTATGTGTAGACAAAGACAGCCTAAAACATGAGGCCACAGTCTTGGTGACAGCATAAGAAGAGGTGTGTAGGCTTCAGCCAGGATAGGTAGCATGAGTGTGACAGGCAGAAGGCCAAAGTCTCCCTAAACAGTCGCCTCCTTAGGGACTTGGGGATTTAGCTCAGTGGCATAAGCACTTGCTGGCAAGCACCAGGATCTCCGGTACTGGGGAAAAAAAAAAGAGTTGCCTCCTCCATCCCTTCTCTCAAGGAGGTCATTTTTGTTTTTGTTTTTTTGGAACCTGGGATCAAACTCATGACCTTGTACTTGCCAGGAAGGCACTTAGGCCACTTAGTTAAATCCCTGGCCCTCAATTCCTTTCTTACCCAGAGACTTAGATGTGCCTCAGCAGTTCTGTCCTCATACAGAACCAAGAGAAATTGAAAACATATGTCCCCCTAACAGTTCACACGTGAATGTTCATAGCTATATTACAATTGCCAAAAAGTAAAGACGATTCACATGTCTGTCAAATGAAAATAAGTAAAATGTAGTACATCAGGGCTGAGGATTTAGCTCAGTGGCATAAATGCCTGCCTGTCAAGTAGGAGGTTGTGAGTTCAACCCAGGTACCAAAAGGAAAAAAAAAAAAAGCAGTAAATTGGGATTTAAAAAAAAAAATCCTCACTCTTAAGAGTGTGGGGTTTAGTTCAGCGGCATAAGTACATGCTTGGCAAACATGAGGTCGTGAGTTCAATCCCTGGTACCAAAAAAAAAAAAAAAAAAAGTAGTACATCATACAGTAGAATATTATTCTATTATAAAAAGGAATGAAAACCCAGAAAAGAAGAAATTAAATGCTGGTAGCTGCTACAGCAAAAAGGAACTTTAAAAACTGCTGGTACATGGAAAGACCATCACACCCAATCACTTAGTGTGCGACTCCACTTATATGAAATACCTGGGACAGGCAAGTCCATAGGGACATAAAGTAGATGAGTCATTACTGGGAGCTGAAATAGGAAGGAATGGGAGAGGTGAGTGCTAATAATTTGGGGTTTCTTTGGGGAGTGATGCAACTGTCCTGGAATGATCAGTTCAAATGATCGCCTCTTCCTGGGCAAGAGGGGTGGCTCAGAGAAAGCTCCAAATCTGATCAGGCTCTCACCTTCAGCCTCAGTGTAGAGCTGCCAAGAACGGTGAAGGTGTGGGGTGGCCAGACTGGGAGCTGAAATGAGGGGAGTTTCTGGGGTCAGACAACAAGCTCTTTGTGCTGAAAGCAAGGAAAATTCTAAAGGGTGTCTACCAACCCCCCATATCTCTGCTCCTCTGAGGCTGTGTCTCTGGTCTTTGGTCCTGTGAGGCTGTGTCTCTTGGTATCATCTGGACCCTCGAATCAGAGAGGATAGAGTCCAGAATGGTGGCTTCCCAGTTTGCAAACACTTGTCCCTCAGCTCTCTTCCCACCCCACTGCTGTTTATGTACTTCCCAAGTAAATCGGGCAGATTTATCCAAGACACCTTCTTCAGAATTCTACACCCAAAGGAGTGGCACACAGTACAGGCATACTGAAACCAGTGGGAGCACGGGTTATGTTATGCTAGGGCTTAAGACACAGGCCTGCCACTGCTTTATTGCATGTTTGCCAAGTGAATCCTATGGCTGTATAGGGCCTATGTCTGACTGATGGACAAACCAGTATAGTTTTATGAGTAGGCAAAATGATGCAAACTCAGTTTAGGACTAACTCTGTGTGTGTGTGTGTGTGTGTGTGTGTGTGTGTGTGTGTGTGTGTATCTTTGGCAGTAGGTACTGAACTCAAGGCCTTTTTATTTTTTGAGACAGGGTCTCACTACATTGCTAAATTGCCCACGATGGGCTCAAACTTATAATCTTCCTGCCTTAGCCTCCCAGACTGTTGGGATTATAGGCATGCACCACTATGCCTAGCTTGACAGTGTCAATTTTTCTGCAAGTGAGGAGTTCTTAAGGCACCTGAAAGTAGCCCAGGTTCTTCGCAGAGTGTCACCTACTCACCAATTGCAGCTTGGTTCCTTAGTATTATCAGGGATACTGACACCCTAGACACATGCAAGCCCAAGCACATAGACACACAGATGTGAAGCACACTCATTTATACACATACTCCAACCAACACTCTTTGCTCTTCCTGAAAATTAAGTGTTGAGCCTCACATTCCTGCTGTCTTTGCCAATGAATTTGGCTTGCCTGCTGTTCTGCAAATCCAAGCAAGTCCATCCCCATAGTTCCCGGTAATTTTTCTTAGAATCAAGCCCAGAACTGGAACCATTTCTTTTAGGAGATCCTGCATGAATAAACAAGCATTACTTATTCCCTGAAGCCTTTCCTGTCTGCCCTTTCTCCTAACACACAGAGAGGCGCCATCTCCTGTTGGTCTTCAGAGAAGTGATAGAAGGCTTCCCAAAGAGGTAATGTTTTAGCTGAATCTTGATGGCTGTTAGAGTGAGGCACGATGAAGGGCATTCCAACCTCAAGAGAGAAAGAGAGACTATTACAGCACCTGGTAAAGTGCCTAGTCACTGGACTTTGATGAATGGACAGGGTGGCTGGCTGGCTGAATGTATAGGTGCATGGATGGGTGGGGTGGTGGATGGATGGTTGAATAGACACATCCAATGAGGAAGTCGGACAGTGAACTGGGGAGTTGTGAGGTTGTCTGAACATGAACATGATACAAGTGGAAAAGTTGAAGCTAGAGAGTTGGCTTTGGAAACAGATTATGAAGGGTCACATGTATTAAATGAAATAATTTGTCAACCATGTTGATCAACTATACCTTGAAAGATTTTAAAGCAAAAAAGGTGATAGGATCAGATTCATGTTTTTAAACATTACTCTGGTATTTTTCTGATTTTTTTTTAGAATGTCCTGTATACTGCTAAGAAAAATGTCTATTCTGATGTTGTAGGGTGGTAGAACACTCTAGACATCTACCAAGTCCATTTGTTGAAAAATGTATGCAGTTGTAATGTTTCATTGTTGATTTTTTGTCTAGTTGACCTATCTATAGGTCAATAATGCTTATTTGACTTTTCACATCTGTTAATATTTGTTTTATAGGTTGGGTGTACTAATATTTGGTGCATATATATCTATGATTGTTATCTCTTACTCTTGGGTTGTTCCCTTTACAAGGATGTAGTGACCTTTTCTTGTCTCTCGGCTTGAAATCCACTTTGTCTGCAAATAGAATAGCTACCCCTTCTTTTTTGGCGGGGGGGGGGGGGGATGTTCCAGTCATAAGCAGTGTTGTTTTCCGTCCTTTGACTTTCAGTCTATGAATTTCTTTTTGAATTAGATGTGTTTCTTTTATGTAACATATTGTTGAATCTTGCTTATTAATCCATTTTGCCAGTGTGTTTCCTTTGATTGGTGAATTGAGACTATTAACATTGATGGTTTTGAATTTGAGATGATCCCCCTACCTCAGCCTCTCGAGTACTGTGATTATGGTGTGCACCAACACACCCAGCTACTATATGGGTTTTGAAAGATAGTTTTGCAAGGTACATCAATCTGTGTGGGAGATTGTTTTCTTTTCTTTTTCTTTTCTTTCTTTTTTTTTTTTTTTTTTTTGAGATTGTTTTCTTTTAGGGCTTGGAATTCTGTGTTCTAAGCTCTCCTTAATTTGAGGGTTTCTGTTGAGAAGTCAGCTGTGATTCTGATGGGCTTTCCTTTTTAGGTGATTTGTTTCTTTTCTCCCATTCAAGTACTAATCAAGCCTGACCCTGCTTAGCTTCCGAGATCAGACGAGATTGGGCGTGTTCAGGGTGGTATGGCCATAGACTTGTTTCTTTTCTCCAACAGTTTTTACTATTCTGTTCTTGTGTTAAATTTCTGAAATCTTGACTAGGATGTGTCTTGTCATAGATTTTTTTTTAGTATCATGGCTAATTGGGATCCTATATGCCTCACTTATTTGTATGTAAAATTCTTTCTTTCTGCCAGGAAATTTTTTTATGTAATGTCTGTGAACATATTTTTTAATACAATTTGTGCTATTTCCTTTTTTTTTTCATTGACTCCAATCAATAATATGTTATTCTTCTTTGTATCATCTAGCAGATGCTGGATTGATTTTTTTACCGTCTCTTGCTATTTTTAAGAAATCTTTCTTTTCATGATCACTAAGTATAAGCCTGTCTTCTATATTTGAGATTCTGTCCCCACATTGGTTTATTCTGCTGCAGGTTTTTTTTTTTTTTTTTTTTTTTTTTTTTGGTCTTTTTCCTTTTTTTTCTGGTACCGGGGACCGAACTCACGACTGCCTGCTGCAGAGCAGGCGCTGCAAGGCAGGCGCTTATGCCGCTGAGCTAAATCCTCAGCCCCTTCTGCTGCAGGTACTTTCAAAGGAATTTTTAGTCTGCCGGATATCTGCTTGAATCTGTTTTTGTTGTTGGTTTTGTTTTGGTAGCAAGGATCGAACTCACAACCTTGCACTTACCAGGCAAGCCCTTGAGCCACTGAGCTAAATCCCCGGTCCTTGAATCTGTTTTATAGATCCATTTCATTCCTATGTTGGGCATTCATGGTTTCCGTCATTTTTCTAATCTCCTCTATTTTTAAAATCTGTATCTGCTCTGGAATCATTAAACATGTTTATTCATTATGGTCACTGTCTCTGTAGTTATCTGAGAAATTGTTTTGGATTTGATTTTTTCTAGAGCCTCATTCATTTTCTTCGGTGGGTAATAAATACTCTCAGGGAGGCCAAGTAGGGGGCTTTTGAATTGTCCTGCCTCATTGCTCCCTGGTTTTGCTTTTGTCTGGGGTTGCATTTTGTTTAAATGTATTCCCATTTTCTTTCTTTTCTTTTTTTTTTTTTTTGTTTTGTTTTGTTTAATTCCTGGGTTGACACTTATAAAGTGACTGTGGTGAGCTGCTTTATTGCTAGTATTTAGAACCCTTAGGAAATAACTACTCAGAGGTATTCCGGATGTAACTAGTTTTTGAATCTGTTGCAAGATCCCACCTCTTCAATTTGTTGGGGTTGAGAAGTTGCTGCCCACTTGGACCAGCCCCTGGTTCCTTGGCACTGGCCCACAGTATTTTCTATGACCCTTAGGCAATCTCAGTCTTGGGATACCAGGAATAACAGCTGGTTAGAACAGTGGTATCAATTTGGCTAACATGGTATAATCAACAATAACAAGAGAATCAAACACAGCCTAAAAATGAAAAATTAAAATACCCATTAATGTGCCACCTTTAACCATGTGAACTAGATTTGTGATTGTATAACAAAATTTAAAACAAACCAGAAAATTGTATGCAGCAAATAGCCCTCAGTGTGCCAGTTTTACCCTCAGGGGAGAAAAATTTAAAAGGGGTTAGGAGGAAAGAAGAGAAATAGAAGGGGAAGAAATTAGAAGCAAGGCTGGAGAACAAAGGAGAATCGTGCAAACTTTGGGAAACTTGTGCAGAAGACAGGAGGGGACAGAAGGAAGAAATAAAAGAAAGAGCCGTGGATTTAGCTTTGTAGCACAAATGCCTGCTTAGCAAGCCTGAGGTTGTGGATTTAATCCCCAGTACAAAAAAAAAAAAAAAAAAGAAAGAAAGACATAAAAGGAAGGAAGAACAGAATGGAACAACAACCACAAAAAAAAAAAAAAAAACCTAGAAATCACTTTCATACTCATAAAAAAAGATCAAACAATGAAGGAAAAAAGAAAGAAAATAATGCCCACTTCAAAGTTTGTCTCTGCTGTCACTAGTAGACACTGTGTGGAGAAACTCCCAATCCATGTTGATTTATCCCAGCAAGTCAGCAGTAGCTTTATGGTGGGTAATGAATATTCTCAGGGAGCTGCACCTTCTGCTGGACTCTGCCCGTGAGCCTGGGACCAGACCTGCAGCCTGCAGCAGTCAGCACATTTTCTGTGGATTTGAACTTAGGAGCTGCTAGATGGCCTCAGCAGTTCTGAATTCTGAGCTCAGTTGGTCCCTCTGCAAGATGGCTCTCTGTGGGGAGTAACTGAAGCTGAAGATCAATCACACATGCAGTGCTGGAACAAGGCCATCCTCAGAACAAGGATCACCTAGGCGATCCAAGCTGTTTCAGCTGTTCTAGCTCTGAGAACACCCAAACAAACAGGTTGCTAGGCAGAGGGGTGTCACATGACTACGTCAACCTGCTGAGTCATTGACTAACGTGCTGCAGTCATTGACAGTTCCTTTCCTCTCATTTGGAAAAAGTGCTCCACCTGCCCTCACCTTTTTATATTCTGACTCTTATCTATTTCTCCATCTTCTATCATCTTTCACCCCGAGAATTTTGAGACCTATGCTAGACACAACAGCTCCCAGCCAATTGCCCTCTGGTGCGGTAGGTCTGATCCTGCAGCATTCAACACCAGCCAGTGCGCTGCTCCCTTCCACTGCTGCATCTTTCTGTGGAGGCCTCTGGGGTCGCCAGCAGCGTTGTGTGTAATCAGGTTTGAACCGTTCCTTTCACACAGTGAGTCCCAACTCAGGGAGAAGGTGCCACTCAATACCTCCTTCCTCTATGGTAAAGTTTCTCTCTTTGCTCCGCACTGGGCATGTTTTCTCTGAAGATCCTTCTTGGGACCAAGAATCCTTCTGAGATCCTTCTTCTCTTCCTCAATATTCCAGTGTCTGACTGCAAGTCTCAAAGAGGGTCTTTCTCTGCAGCTTACCATTTTGCCATCTTCCTGGAAGTCTGGATTTTTCTCTTCAAGGGAAAGAAATGAAATGTGGAAAACCACATCAGAGCTGTGTGTGGTGATACATATATGTAATCCCAGCACTCAGGAGACTCGCCACTCAGGAGGATCCCCATGAATTCAAGGTCAGCCTGAATTATGTAGTGAGTTCAAGACCAGCCTGCAATACATAGTGACAGTCTGTTTTTAACACACACACACACACACACACACACGTACATACGGATAGTCAGAAGGCTGTAAAAATAAACATGGTGAAAAGCTGACCTGAGGTAGTAGCTCTGGGTATGTTGGGGAGCAGGTACATTTTTAGGGTATTTTATATATATGATCACCCAAAACAGCTGATTTTTGAAGGAGGTGAAGCAGGAAGATTCCAGGATGTGTCGTATATCTCTAACTCAGCAAATTTTGTAGATCATGATATTATTAATTCAGATAAATATAAATAATAGGCTTAGAGGGAGGAGATGATGGATTTTTAAAAAGCATTTTATTGCAAAATATTAAACAAATATAGAAAAACAATAAAGAAATGTGCTTTGCAATAATAAAAGGTTTTTGTACTTACTTATTTTCAGTTGTTTGTGATCTAGAACTAGGAAAGAGGCCTAGGGTTATATAAATTAGCATTTCTTCGTTCCAAATCACAGAAACCCAGCCCAACCTATTAAGCACAAGGAAAATTGTGAGGACACAGGAACCCAGAGACAGGAATACAGAATACAGTTGGATATCAGAAGGGACCTGGGACCAGAGTTCTGAACGCCAACACAGTTCTCTCTCTCTCTCTCTCTCTCTCTCTCTCTCTCTCTCTCTCTCTCTCTGTCTCTCTCCCTCTTTCTCTTTCTTCTTGCCCACGCAATGGGAGAAGGGATCACTGATGGCTCTCAACATTTTTATTACCAGTACTGGGGACTGAACTCAGGTTCTTTACACTGAACTACAGCCCCAGCCTTTTTATTTATTCATTTTTAAATTTTGAGACAGTATCTCAATTATTTTCTTGTCACTGGAACACAATTACTGCCACCCATAAATCTAAAGCAGAAAGATTTATTTTTGCTCACAGTTTGCAGAGGTTTCCACATATAATCTGCTGGCTCCAAAGCAGGGGACCATGGCAGAGGGAAACAAAGACAGAGATCAAGTGGGGAGGGAGAGAGACCCTTCCCGGTCACACCTTCAGTGACCATTCCTCAGACCAGGTTTCACCTCCCAACATCACATTTAGCTATAAATTCACCAGTGGACGTATCCACTCGTAAGTATCACACCTCCATGATCCAGCCTCCCTTCCAAAGCCTCACCTCTCTGCACATGAGGCTTTGAGGGGGGCATCTAGATAAAAACATTTTTTGCTTATAGTAAAATATCCATAAACATTAAACTTACCATCAGATTCATTTTCAAGAGCACACTACAGTTCAATATTATTTAGGTTTGTAATCTCATCAGATTCTAACCTCTTCAGGCCTCTGCAGGCTGCTGAGGTTCAGAGTGCTAGGGTTCCCCACTTCCACTCCCCGCCCTCTACCCACAGCCCCATCTGGCCCCTCCCTCCAAACCTCCAGACCAGTCAAACTGAATCAGGCTGTTCTTATGACTAACTTTGGAAGACACTAACACATCAATTTATTTTTACATTAAATGGCTGCCACTTTGCAAAGACAGATAAGAATATTGAGTTGTGTTGTGTACAGGGAGCTCACCAGCCAGTGTTTATATCTGTGCTCCCCTTGGTTTCACCACTCCTGCCATACATGCACACAGATAGACGTACACAGACTCTTGGACTGTGTGACTTTGGACACATCACCTCCCATTTTTAGACCATTCTTTCATCATCTGCCGATGTCAGTCACATGAGACAATCTCTGGAAAGTTCCTGGACTCCAGACATCAGTAGCCCCCATTGCCTTCTGCCCCAGGCTCCTCCAATTCCCAGCCCCAGGAGAAAGCAAGAGAGACAACGGAAGGGCAGATAGACAGGTCCAAGCCTGGTTTATACCTGGGACTCTTCCCACAGGCCACCATTTTTACTACCCGAGTGCCACTCACAGATCTTTTTTTTTTTTTTTTTTTTGTCTTCTTCCTTTTTATCAGTACCAGGGATCGAACTCATGACTGCCTGCTTGCAAGGCAGGCGCTTTTGCCGCTGAGCTAAATCCCCAGCCCCCTCACAGATCTTTTCTAACCAAAACTGCGGTTAAATGATCTGAAGACAAGGAAAACCTATGTGAATTAATTAGGAAGGCAGCTGGGCCAAGCAGGAGAGGTGTGGGACCCGATGACAAGTCAGGTTTGTGGAGGGGGTGACCTTCTCCACAGGCAGAGGCTGCACCGTGGAGGTCTGGGAAGCTAGAGGCCAGGGTCTCTGTATCCTCTTTCTTGGCCTCTGAGTAAATGTTGTGTGGGGTGAGACCAAGTTCATCAGTGCCACTGCCCATTCCGGCTCCACCTTACACAGGAAACGCCTCCTCACCCGCAGTGACCACATCCCCAAAGGTTGCCTAGGAAACACTCTGTGGGGCAGGAGGAGTTGGGGCAGTTGCCCTGCAACAGGTGGCAGCTTCCTTTCCGCTCTCATCTGACGCCAGCCCACTCTGTGCTACAGACACCCTCCTGCACATCCCAGCATGCACAGGGAGAGTGGCGCTGAGAAGGCACAGGAGCCCAGCCAACCCAAGGTGAGGTGGGGTGCAGGAGGCCCCTGTAGACGGAATAAGGGAGGCAGAGAGAGCTGACACAGAGACAGACCAGAGACTGGGCCGAGCTGGTGAGGCTGGGACAAGGCAGAGCTGGCACCTGAGACCCAACACCCCAGCAAATCCTGAGCTTGTACGTACAGAGGACAAGAGCACCTGCTGGCTCCTGGCAAGGGCAGAGGAGAACTGAGGGTCCAGCAGAGGTGGCCACGAAGGGCCACATTGGGAGGGGATTCAGGAGGCCATTTTCTCAGTTCTTCCCCCACCCCTACTTCCTCTCTGAACCAGAGCAGGATCTGAAGGGGCTTGGGCAGGAGAAAGGAGCCCTTAGGGACTTTACTCCTTTCTCTGAGGCATCCTGAAGTTTGGGAGGGAAATGCTCTCCCGTAAAGGGACTTCCGAGTGGACAGGAGGACCTGGCTGCCTGCTGAGGGAGGCTCTGCCTGTTCTCTTATCTCCTTTGTTTGCTCCAGCTCCAGCCCTTTCAGGGTCCCCTTTGTTGTCTATTTCCCCCTACCCACGCCCACCCCCAACCCTGCCTGCCCCAGGGATTGAACTCAGTACCATGCCCAGCCCTTTTTGGTTTTTATTTTGAGACAAAGTCCTGCCTCAGCCTCCCAGAGTACTCGGGCCACACTGGCCCCTCGGTCCCTTTTGGGCTTCCTTGGATACTTTTGTCTCTCTCCTCTCAGTGGTGCCTGCTCTACTTCATTTGTTTCCTCTCCTCACCCCTTGTGTCTCCCAGATGCCTTCAACTTCCACTCGACTCACCGGGCACATGGAGGGACCCCCTGCAACGGAGGCAACCTTCTGGCCCCCGCTTCCCTGCGGCCCCTGCATTCCCATCCTGCTGGCCCTGGCCTCCCTCGCTGCCTTCTTCATCCTAACGACAGCTGTGCTGGCTGAACGCTTGTTCCGCCGCTCTCTGCACCCTGACCCCAGCCACCGAGTGCCCACCCTGGTCTGGCGCCCCGGAGGAGAGCTGTGGATTGAGCCGGCAGGCACCGCCCGAGAGCGCTCTGAGGACTGGTATGGCTGTGAGGAGCCCTTGCTTACTGACAGGAGCCCAGACTTTCCTCCACCTGGGGGGACCTTGGAGGCCCGGGCCAGTGCCCCACCTGCCCCTTCAGCCCTGCACTCTTCCCCCAGCTCCTCGGTCCCCCAGGAGCACCCTAATATCCTAGCTCAAAGCACCTTCTGGGGGCCCCAGCCATGTGGGGAGAGACCTCCCACCACAGGCCTAGTGAGCTGGGTGGGGCCTGAGCTGAGGCCAGAGGCCACCCCAATGCTTGGGAGCGCCACAGCCTGGAGACCAAGGCCAGGGAGCCCTGAGCCTGACTGGAGCCTTCAGCCTCGGGTTACCCTGGAGCAGATCGCTGCATTCTGGAGGCGGGAAGGCCGGACCAGTGTGAGCTTCTGAATCCCCAGGGCCTCCAGTGGGACTGGCCTCCCAGAATGCCCTCTGGAAGGCACGGTGGCCCCAAAGCTGTCTCAGGGCAGATGCTCCTCCCAAGCCTCTCCAGTCTGAATTTTCCATTCTCCTATGCCTATAATAGTGAGCAGGCTTGAGTGTGGACAGAGCCTGTGTTCAAAGGATGCCCAGAAAGTGCCTCTCATTGTGCATCCATTGATCACCCACCATGACTCAGAGGGCTGGAGGTAAGGCCAAGGCTGGCCCAAAGGCTTGAAGTTTGCATTTCAGAATAAGAAGTCAAAGTAACAGACACACAGGAAATGGCATCAAACCAGCCCTTTCCCCTGTCAGTGGGTACCTGAGGTACCAAAGGGCCCAAAGAGGATGCTGAAGAGCAGCCTGGAAGCGGTGCTGATAGGTGACTGGTGTGTTGGCAGGAGACAACAGGAACCCAGCTTCCCAGAGCCACAGATCTTATCCCTTTGCTGACTTTCACTCCTGTCTCCCACCATGAGGTTATCCAAGAAAATACACACAAAGGCCAAGACCAGGCAAAGGAGCCTTTTATTACACTGACTGTGGCCTTCATCCCCAAATGGCAAGGAGGAACTGACCTGAGCTGGAGAGGCCCTGTCTCACCTGGTGTTGGGACTTAAAGCCAGAGAAGACCCACAGGCTCTGCACAGCCTCTCTCGGCTGCATCCATCCCAGCCTCCAGGGTCCCAGTGCTCCCTGTTGAGGGCCACCAGGCCAAGGAGAAGGAGTCTGAGCCAGCGTGGAAAAGGCTTGCCGTGGGCAAGAGCTGCTCCCAAAACCTGGCCTCTGGCCATTTTCCTTCCCCGCTTGCTGGAATAGTCCAAATAGGGGTGTTTATAATGATCCACCCCACTGAAATGGAGCCCCAAGTGCTAGTGGACTTACAGCAGAGGCCCCTTCCCTGACTCTACTCCTACTCCTGACCCTAGCCCTAATTCTAACCCTGGGGAGTGGGATCTTCCTAGGGGCTGATTTCCCAAACTTCCATCATGAATATCAGAATTTTTGACATATCAACTTATTACCTTTAGTATTACTTACTTTATATTTTTCTTTTTTATAAACTTTTTTTTTGTTTTTTTTCCATTTTTATCGGTACCGGGGATTGAACTCATGACCGCTTGCTTGCAAGGCAGGCGCTTATGCCGCTGAGCTAAACCCCCAGCCCTATATTTTTCTTTAAATTGACTATTTGCTTAATAAATTTATTGTAAAAGAAATCTTTTTGTGTCACTTCTACAAGTGGAAAAATCAGTACCACATGCATTAAATAGAAAATAAAACATGAAAATAAATACAATGTAGAAAAAGTTATTAGGTTTTAGGTTGTTGACTGTTGGTGGAATTGATCACAAAAGGTGCTTTGTAAAAATTTTTTCAGTGCTGGGGACGGAACCCAAGACTCAGAACCTGCTGATCCTACCTCTGAGCAACCATCCAGCCCTTGGCTCTTTGTTAAAAAGAGACTGGCACAGGAGTAATGTGGGCTCCTACTCCCAGCTACTCAGAAGGCTGAGGCAGGGAGATGGAAAATTTGAAGTCAGTCTGAACAAGGTAGCAAGACCCTTTCTCATAAAAAAATAAAAGGGATTGGGAGTGTAGCTCAGTGATTGAGCACTCCTGAGTTCAATCCCCAGTACTGGAAGGGGGAAGTGAAGGGAGATCAGCAATTTGGAAAAGTGTCAGACACTAGAACCAAACTGAGACCTTGTCCTGGAAACTCAAGGCAGAGAAAGCCCAGCAAGGGTGGTGACCCTGTGCTTCCTACTTAGGAGGCCTAGGACCGCCTGAGGTCCCACCCCACGCCCCAATCCCTTGCCTTCCCCTCTAGTCCCTTGGATGCAGGAAGTTGTGGACACAGCCAAGGAAGAGACAGTTTCCAGGCGGAGGGACTGAGAACCCAGCCCAGCTTCCTCCCTTTCCCCAAGTTACTCATCCAGCCTGCATCCAGCCACTTTCTCTGAGCCAGGAGGAGTCAGACCTAGCCTGAGTTTTGAGCTCAGTCTCTGTCTCGTGGCAGAGGCTGGAAAATGCACATAGGACTGAGACAAAACACAGACACAAAACTCACGTAAGGTAGAAACCAGGGTTCCTGGCCATCTCTGTCACCCATGAGCAGGTACCTGTTTCACTTCTCAGATGTTTCACCATCAGCTGACAGGGCTGTGCCTGGGGATTCTCCCCACAGGCAGCAAACAGTCCACTCCCACGGAAAGCAGAAGGCAGAGGCAGGAGCTCAGGGCTGAGGACGCTTCCTAGCCGGTGCCCTCTGTCTGCTCCGTCACCCACTTGCTTGGAGACTTTTTCATATTTTGAGGCCTAATTTTTTTTCTCTGACCAATAAAAGAGCTAGAAGACAAACAAGATGACCTTTTGGGACTTTTCCCCATGTAACGTTAGGAGGTACTATGAAATGAAAGATGGGCGGATAGATGGTTGGATGGGTGGGGATGGATGGGGATGCAGATGAGTGGATAGATCACATACATGAACACATGGAGCGATGCACATGATCTTCCTAAGACAGAAGCCAACTTGCTTCTCCAGAACCTACAGAGTCTCAAACCCAGAACATGATCTAAAAATAATAGAAGCCCAAATGAAGGGAGAATGCATAAGTAGATAGTTTTATCCTTTATCTATTTTAAAACTTTGCCAGGCAGGCACTTTTGCCACTGAGCTAAATCCCCAGTCCCTACTTCTGGACTTTTTGAAGAGAAGTCTCACTCTGTGGCCCTGGCTGGCCTTGGACTCATGGTGAACCTCCTGTCTCAGCCTCTTGAATGCTAGAATTTCAGGCGCAAGCTACTGTATCTAGATCTCTGCTGTATTTTAAACCTTCCCCTCCGTGCAGTGCTAGAGCTGAAACTCAGGACCTTGCACACATGCTAGACTGACTTATATCCTCAGCCTCTCCCTCTCATTTTTAATACTACTTCACTTCTTTTTCCCAGTGAGTTCTTTTTTGTTTTTAGGAATTTAAAACCGACTTACTGTCTGGTCCTTTACTGAATAACATTAATCTCTGGAGGTCTAGGGTGTGTGGGGTTTTTTTGTTTTGTTTTGTTTTGGTTTGGTTTGTTGTCCCCTGCGCCCCGCACCCCCCTCAGGGCCTCACACTTGCCAGGCAGGTGCTGTGCTGAGCTACATCCCAGCCCTAGGGTGTGCTTTGTTTTTGGTTTTGTTTGTTTGAAACAGAGTCTTATTGTGTTGCCCAGGCTGGCCTCAGTGCTGGGGTTATAGATCCATACCACATGCCTGCTGGGTCTCCTGCTATCATTCACAACGTATTGTGCCACTGTGTTTTGTAATTTGAAGCTGTGATTTCTGCTTCAGCAGGGCCTTAGCAATGGAAATCTATGGGGGCCTATGATTTAGATCTTTTTTCAATTAATTGTTTATTGGTACATTTTGCATATCATAAGGAATTTGTTCCTGTACATGATATATCTTGATTCTTTCTTTTTCTATTGCCCTACCCTCTCTTCAACTCTTCCTTCCCTCCCTTATTTATAAGCCATTGTTAAAATAAATAAATAAATAAATAAATGGCTGGGGATTTAGCTCAGTGCCGTAAGTGCCTGCCTGGCAAGCACAAGGTTGTGAGTTTGATCCCTGGTACCAAAAAAATAAATAAAAATAAAAGGCATTGTTTCAATTTTTCCTTCTTTTCCCTTCCTTCCTTTCCCTTCCCCTTCACTAATCCCCCTTCCCACTTGAATATTTCCTTCGTATTTCACAATATGATTTAACCTGACTGTCTCCCAAAGATCTGTGTGTTAAAGGCTTGTTCCCCAGTTCGTGATGTGAGAGATTTTGTTCCGCCACATGCTCCTAGCATAATGTTACCTCCCCTCAGGCAGCATGAACAACATAGTGAGACCCTGATTCCTCACCTAAATCATCATCATCATCTCTTTTTCCTTATAAGTTAACTATCTCAGGTATTTGTCATGGTAACAGAAAGCTGCTGGGTGATGTCTTTTCATAGATATTATGTGTTTGTTTCAAAAGGATGCTTCATGGGCCGGGCATTTAGCTCAAGCGCTTGCCTGGCAAGTGCAAGCTCATGAGTACTGATCTCCAGTACCAAAAATATAAAAAAAAAAAAAAAAACGATGCTTCAGGGATATTGCCAACTCTGGACCACGTTATTTGTTAATTTTATTTGGGCTAAGTTAGGCAAAGTTTTTGGTTTTGAATTCTGAGGGTGGAGGTCTTTTTATTGTCATCAGATCTTAGGGTGAGACAGACAAAATCATTTTGAGTGCTCTGGGCTAGAAGTCAGATGCTGTCCGTCTTTAAAGATCTGATCTTTCTCAGAGTGTCTCAGCTGGATTTTATTTGTTGTTTATTTGGTTTTCGAGACATGGTTTCACCATGCCATTCAAGCTGGCCTTGAATTCACTTTGTAGCTCAGGCCAGCCTCAAACTCATGCAGTCCTCCTACCTCAGCCTCCTGAGTGCTGGGATTACAGGCGTGTGCCACCACCAGCAGGGACTCCATTTTTAATCCCCTGGGGAAGGTCTTGTTTCTGATCTCTGAGGGGTTATAAAAGCAAGCCTCTTCTCTGAGACCATATGCCACATCCTCCCAGAAGCTCATATAGCTCCATTTCCTCTCTGTTTGTGCCTTCGGGGATTCCCCTTACTTTTTTTTTTTTTTTTCAGTGTTGGGGGTTGAACTCAGGACCCTTGCCCTGAGTTATATCCTTAGCCCCCTTCTTAGCTAAGGTCCAGAGGCTCAGCTTGAATGCTCCTGCCTCGGCCTCTTAGAGTACTCTTAGAGTACTAAGATTACGGGTTTGTGCCACCATACCCAGCTCTCCTTACCTTTCAAGATTTCTTGTTTACTTTTATGCCATACTTGTAGATGTTTCATGGTGGGGATATATATGTCAGAGAGAGAGAGAGAGAGAGAGAGAGAGAGAGAGAGAGAGAGAGAGAACTATTTCCTTATACAAACAAGCTTCCAATTTCTCCCATCATGTGTTGGAGTAGGCACAAGCTTGTAGTCCCAGACCCCAGGAAGCTGAGGAAAAGGAATCACTGGAGCCCAGGATTTCAAGACCAGCTGGGCAACATAGTGAGCGTTTGTCTCAAAATAAACAATCAGATATTTCTCCCTCTCTAAAATAACCAGTCAACTACCAATTGATCTTCTATACCTCATCTATACCGTCACGGTCCCTGGCCTCCTTCAGAGCCAATCTTCTGGATGGAGCTGTCTCTTCTCAACGGTTTCTCAACTGCCTGTAACTCTGCAACTAGCTGTTGGCTTCCACACACTTTCAGAATTTACAGAAACTGCTTTTTCCAAAATTGCCACCAAAATCATGATTTTAAAGGGTATTTCTAAACCTCCTTCAGGAAGCATTACCATTACATATTTTTTACCATTGCATATTTTGATTCCCTTCTTTGTGTGTGTGGTTTTTTGTTGTTGTTGTTTTGTTGAGACAAGGTCTTACTATGTAGTACAGATTGGCTTTGAAGTCACTATGTAGCCTAGGATGACCTTGAACTAATAGTGATCCTCCTGCCTCAGCCTCCTGAGTACTGCAATTATAGTTGTATGACACCATACCCAGCTTGAGTCCCTCCTTGAAACTTTCTCTTTCCTCAGCCTCTATGACCAACACAAACCTAATTTCCTCCCTTCCCCCCCTCCCTTCCCCTTTCCTTCCCTTTCCATTCCTTCCCTTCTCTCCTCACTACCTTGTGGGCCACCTTCTCAGAGGTTAGCCTTGATGGCATTTGTGCTTGCTCCCCTCACTCTTCCTGAGCAACCTCACCTGTGCCTTCTGTCTCTCACACCCTAGTGACTCCCAAGTCTCTGTCTACAGGCCCATTCTTCTGAAGGAACAGCAGCACCATTTGAAAATGTGCTCATGGCCACTCAGAAGGAAAGCTACATTTCCCACATTTTTTTTGGTAGCCAAGAATGGCCATGTCACTTGTTTGATCTTTCTCCTACCTGGCTGAGGTCAAAGGACCCTGCGTCTCTGTGAGCCACCCACCAACCCAAGCTGCCTACTCCCTCATCACTGCATCAGAGAGAACTCAAGTAAGAACTCACATTATCTCATGTAAGTCACGGTCACTCTGTGTCTTGGTAACACAAAACTAAACATGAATATTTTCTCCCCGCCCTCTCCCTCTTCCTTCCTCTCCTCTGTCTCTCTCTTCTTCCATACCTCCTGGACCCTGGCTGTTACTC